AACGTACGAGTGAGAGAGTGATTTTGTCCGCGATGCAAGTTATCAATTTTTTTCCTTTTTTAACAAATTTTGAAAACCAAACCTTTTTTTCTTTGTTTCAAATAAGTATATAAAGATTTCATCGATTGGTTTGAATTTTTATTTTTATTTCCCCAATTTCTGGATTACAAGTTAAAGCCAAAATACAAATCGTTAGGTAGAAAATCTGAATTTAAATGGTGTAGATGCATGTATTCGCACAAGTTTCACATACATACATGTCCGTAACAAGATGTGTATTTCAGGTAGAAATTGACTGTTTTTTGCACAATGAGTCTTGTTTAGCGAAAAAAATAATACTTCAATTTTGTTTAGAAAATAAGCTTTTTATCATCATGAATCATGATGAGAAATTTTCATGACTGATACATTGCAAAGCCGAATAATCCATAATCACAAGTTCAAGTCAAAACTAAAAAATTTGATTTTAATCTTAAATAGTAGTACAAAAGATGTAAAACATGACGTCATGTGATTTAGACCAGTGATGCCACATGAATGAGACTCATTCCTCCATAGCTTCACCAGCAACTTCTACTACTTCGACTCGCTCCGATAATGGTGTGATCTTGGTCAGTAAAACCTCTGTTTTCACACAGAAAGAAACAGTAAGAAGCAGATTATGCTCGAAGAAACCAGAAACGATCAAGTAGTTTCTTACCGGTTTTCTTGGTGAATGAATAGCCTTTGCTACTAACATAGGTTCTTGGGTTTGGTTCCATGTTGTTCCTTAGGTATTCTTTGTGTCCCTGTCCCAAAATCATCTTAAACAGTAAGTTGCAAAGCAAAGGTAAAAGACATAGCTAATCCTACGTGTTGCTTTAGTGGCGCAATCACTCGGTTAGTCATTACACAGAGGAAGATGGAGAGTGACAAACCTTTGTGATNNCACANATATCCACATTNCTACCACTACCCAAGTCGTTGAATATACCCGAGCATATGGCTTCAGCAACCAACTTGATTCCTTCATCTCTCTGGAAGATTTGTGTCAAAAAATTATAAAGACCAACACAAAAGACATGTGAAAAATATAAAGATAAATGTCTCTGCTTTACTTACAGTTAGACCTTCTTTATACTTTGCCTCAAACACTGACATGGCAGCAAGAGAACCAGATCCCATTGTAGCGAATGGTAGAGTGTCAGTTGAACCGTGTGGGTATATCTACATATTAACCAAAAAAGCATAGAGATGAATACAATATGAAAAAAGAAAACAAAAAAAAGATGAGCTAGAATATATATCTACGATTCAGAGTTTTAATCANGAGTTCAAAACTCACGGTATGCAGATGAGGCCCGGTGATATCAACTCCACCAAGCACAAGAGCAGCTGAGACATGGCCTTGATAGCTGAATTATACTTGAGCAGTTAGATTACATANGNCTCTTAGTAANANTTAACACGAGTTTCTTGTCATGATAAAGCAAAAATACCTGAAAAGGTGCTTCTTGAGAAGGGTCAAAGCAGTAATGACNCGAGAATCTCGACCAGTCTGGTATCTATGTAACCGCAACTGTGAGCTGACCATATCTGAACAGTGAGATAGAAATCAAAATAACTAAGCACTGGGTTTTGAAAAATCCAACTTTGATCTGCGTCATTAGTATGGAAATTCGGTTGTTAAGAATTACCAGTTACTGCTTCGGTGTCCGCAGCAGTTCCTGCGCCACAGCAGTAAATGTTTGGTGCCATGTAGTGAATCTTCTCACAGTTCTTATCAGCCACAATAGGCCCTTCAGTTGCCCGAGTATCAGCCCCAAGTATCACACCATCCTATACAAAGAAATAAATGAAAATCAACAATGTATATCTTCAGTTGCCCACGTATCAGCCTCAATTCATCGATATGATCTAATCACACAAACCAAGCTCCACAATTTCAATCAAAAACCTCTCTTTGTGGAGTATCAAACCACCACTCTAGCTCAAGAGCCTTAAATGACAACTATGCTAACAATTACACACACAAAAGCTATAAAAGCAAAACACAGAAGCCCATACATTGTTAAAGTATGTGAGAGTAAAAAACAAACCTTGAAAATCAACCCAACGATAGTTGTTCCAGTCTTGAGAAACCCAGGGGATTTAAGACCCTTCTGTATAAGCATATCATTCCTTTTACACAGATCGAAGCTGAACCCACCTTTTGGCGTTAAATAAACGGTAGATTGCGACATTCTCCGATTCAACACTCTTGAAAATCAGGAAAATTTTGAGATACATCAGATGATCGATCACCCAATAATGTAACAAACTGATATTTTCGGGATCAAAATCGGAAGAAACCTAAGCTTAGGGAAGAACAAGTTTACCTTGGTTTGACGAATTGCGAGATGAAGAAAGCTCGAATCGGAGAAGAAAATCTTAGTAGAAGAAGAAACAAGTGTAGAGATTTCTTCTTCCTCAATTAAACACCTTTTTTTTGCTAAACCAATAGTTTTAGAGGCTCAACTTTGGATCTATAGTATGGGCCTATTTTATATTTAAGGCCTATTTACATAATCGGCTTTCTCGAACAATCGGATTAGCTAAATCCAACTCTACTTAAATCTTTAGGCCCATTAATCAAACCCTATTTATGTCCTCCATCTTCATTTTTTTTTTCTGATGAAACCTAGAAAATTGACGACGATTTCCGTTCTGATAACAATAACAAGAATAGGAAGGTCTTGGTATTGGATCCATATATCGTATTACTTTGATCCACTTTGTTAACCCAATATATGGATTCCATACCAAGACCTTCCTAATTATTGTTTAAAGACTACGATTCAAGATTTTGTGTTAATTGTTCTTCTTGTCATATCCAAGAGTTCTTCCACAATATATCCAGAACATGGTATTCAATTTGTACGCAACTATGCAAAGCTAAAATTAATGTTTAGAAACCTAATTTGAGATCCACATTAGTTATCTTAAAAGTTTTGATATTGGATCATGCTCTCGACACTAATAAGTTACGTTCAACATCTCGTTTCTTAGATTCTATATATGTGAAAACTTTGTATGATTCTCTAAAAGTTTAAATGACTAGTTTTGATATTTGTCTTTAGTTTTGTATGGTTCTCATCTTTAAAAAAAAAAAAAAAACATGAGTACACAAGCTCTTTACCCTAATTTTGATACCAATTTATGTTACCAAACAAATATGTTTATATCACACGGGCCACCGACTCGATGTTCCATGAGCATTCTAATCGTACATGAATCATATTGTTATTCTAAAATATAAGATAATCACATGCACCCAAATCACTTCTCCATTTAACTAGTCGCATCACTTCCAAATCACATTATTCTCTCACACAAATATGAGGAATACCATATGGTGCCTTTATTGAACAAACTATAGTCAAAGTTGTTCTTGGATGCATTATTATAGTTTTATTACTTTCTGCCTTAGCAAAATAGAGAAATCATGAAAATAAATCATTTTTTTTTTTTTTGGTGTAAGCAAAAAAATTGAGAAATCAATTAAAAGTATAAACAATCAACCCACTTATCTTCGTACAACTTTAATTACAAAAATCAATGCAATCCACGTTCTAACTTCTAAGCCCTATTAATTTGGCAAAATTTGTTTTTATGGATACTCACAAGTTTAAGATCTCCGACTAATCTGGTTTAGAAACGGTCATAATATGCTGTCTTTGCTTGTGATTATCAAATCAGGAAAATAATAAAAACGATTAAGGAATCCTTAATTGATCCGGTTTCCTTCCTCAAAAGATAAAAGAAATCACTCAAGAACATAAATGGAAACTCAATCAGGCAAAAATAAATTAGCAAGATTCGAAATTACGACTCATCCAGACATTATAAATTGGAATATTCAGACAGACCTAGGTCACTACTCACTTTTGTCTTGTGTGTGTTTGTATACTTTTCTTGTAAGTCAAGAAACTATGTCTCAGCTTGCAAGAAACAACAATGGCGAGAACAATGTAGCACGGTTGTCGCCAATTCGAATGCCCTGGTTCGATAACTCGGAACTAATCAGAAGTTTAGGTAAAACTCGGGTCGGTAGGGTTACGAATCCCGCGATGCAGAATGTTACATCACTAGTTTCCATGATGAACTCTGGAAACTAGGCAATGATCAAGTAACCGTTAGGAGTTTTGGTTCGGAAAGGTTCCTGTTTGATTTCCAGAGAGAAGACGACATTCTTGAAGTTCTCAAAACAGAGCCTTTTAGTTTTAATCAATGGATGGTTTCGATTGTAAGATGGGAACCGGTTATACGCAATAACTATCCATCGGATATAACGTTTTGGGTCAGAATAATTGGTGTTCCTGTGGAAATTTCTACTGATCGGGATTTTCGGAGAATCGGGAATGAGCTTGGCACGGTTAGAGAAGTTGATGAAGTAAACGCGATGGTTAAAGTGACTATCGATAGTACTATACCGTTGTGTTTCGAAATATCGGTTCAATTTGTAACCGGTGGTGACATGGCGGATGTGAAAATGGAGTATGAGAAGCTTTTAGGTTATTGTGCTACTCGTTTTAGTCTTTGTCATGACAAAGAATCTTGCCCGGAAAGCGATTTGCACGAAGATGATGTTTTGGTAGATGAAGTGAAGCATATGAGTGAATCAAACTAATTTTCACATTTGAGATTCAAAAGTCATAAGATGCATTCAGTAAAGGATTCAACCAAGCGAACCATCATCAAGAGTTCGTCAAAACGGTGTTTTCAATAACGAGAGAATTGGTTTTCCTTGTGTTTATGAACCATTTCTCCAATTTCATCACTTTTCTTTGTAGGAATTACGATTCCACTTTCCTTTGCTCATTTTGTATTGTTTCGTATTTTAAGATATGAAAAAACAGCTCCTGGCACCTATCTAATAGTTCATACAATTCAACAAAACCTTAATAGAACCTTTAGAAAAGAAATCCTTTACCTAACAGATTTTTGGTTTCCGATGACATCCTTAGCTTTTAGAAAAGAAAGAGTCGATCACCAGAACGACAACACAAAATAATGAAATCGTATTCGTAATCAACAAGGGATTAGATAAACATGTCCATAGACAAATACTAATTTTCAGTAGCTAGTTTGACCAAAATGAAGTTTCATGTTCACAAACTCTTGTTGGCCTCCTTTTGCCTCTGCTCCCTTTTGTTCTCCAACGGTTGAAAGATATATTCATATTAAGGGAAGATTATACTTTCCAATGGACCCAACTTTGGCAAATCGTATAAAAGAAGCAAAACCTTTTCATTAAACAAAAAATAAACTCAAAACTTTCATAAACACCGTTTTTCAACTAATAAATTGTTGTGTGTTTTGAAGATATTCCTTTGCGGTTGGCGTTGTTGGAATAACAGTACCCCATAAAAACAACTCTGTTCCCTTTTTATCTTCTTTTGTTTTTGTTTCCACTTTGCCTGAGTGCCTTTTGGTTGTTTTGAGTAAATATTGAGGGACAATAACCACTTATATATGCAAACAAAGGAAATAATGGTGCATAATCATGTAATAACATTTAAAATAACAGATGGAATATTTCCCACCATTGGATTAAAGTAAACTGGAATATAGAGAGAACATATATCGGAGGTATTGGAATATCAAATTGCATCTCTCGGATGTGAACTTCAAGTTAATTACAATGCTCGACTACTAAGGGAAAGATATCGAGAAATTGACAATTTCACACAAGTACAGTCTTCTAATTAAACTCTTTTAACTTTAAATGAAAACCCTCAAACCTATTTGAGGACAATTTTTAGTCGAAAGATGAACAATAATTGAATATACAGTTCTTTTTTAGTTGCATTTTTCCCCAATCAAGGATTCTTCTTTCTGGATCATAAAACCTAAACTCAATCGCAGGAGTCATAGTTTCTCCAAGAACTAAAATGTTTGGATCTTCAAAATGCACAAGATTGTAAAGATCTAAAACTCATCCTGCAGTTTCTTTGTTCAAGGTAAAACAAAAGACAAACTCTTCTTCTTTCTTTCTCTTTTCTTGAGATTTAAACAAAGTGTAATCTCTGTATCTAAGCCAAAACCGGTCGGATCTTTCTAGTAAAAATTCTAAGAAAACCCCGAGTTAATATAAACTGTGGATACCAAAGTTTTCTCCTTGCAATTTCCTAATATACTAACAACTTGGGACAAGGAATTTACGAAGCCTATGATTTATGTACCTGTACTACTTCAGCTCGAGAGTTCCTGTGCACTTTTAACCGCTGCGACATAGTAATGCAATCTCCAAAGCATTATGTTGTCCTGAAGCACACATTTTTGTTATAATTTTTCATATGAATGGATTGGACCAAAAGTCTTATGTTAGATTTTCAGATGCCTTACTTCCTCCTCCATGTTGACTACAACTTCATCGGAAAACTCTTTTCCTAAAGCTGCATAACGGTTCTTGATGATTCCAGCAACACGTACAAGATTTTCTCGAGGTAGCTCCTTAATTGATTTCTGAAGATCTCTTTTCTCTCCGCGGCTCATAGGTCTGTTGCTACAGAGTTAACAGACAACACATAAGTAACTATTGAAAGAAGAATGTCTATCTATATAATAGTAGACTGTGTATAACCTGCATGTGGTGACCACATTGTCAAGGAGCTTCTCAAGTTGCTGCTCCATGTTGTCCAGCTAGTCAAAGCAAATAGAAAACAATAATATTTTTCTTCAGACAGGATATTGGATGTAGCTATGAAACGAAAGTTGCATCATTCTATGTTTCGCGAAGTCGAGATGTTAATATAAGAAGAAAATTACTCTAGCAAATAGATCATCTGAAAGTTTCTTCACTATTTCCTTGAAGGCTAAAAGATTAGGATAATACCTTATAAGTAATTGTATATCATCCTCCACCTAAGAAAAATCAGACAAAGTATGCAAGAATCGTATTTTTTTTAGGAGGAGGATGATATCAATTACTTATGAGGTCTGATCCTAATCTTGTGAAGGAAATAATGAGAAAACAATTACATTTTGCTTCAGACAGGATATTGGATGTAGCTATGAAACGAAAGTTGCATCATTATATGTTTCACAAAGTCGAGATGTTAATAGAAGAAGAAAATTACTCTGGTAAATAGATCATCTGAAAGTTTCCTCACTATTTCCTTGACAAGAGTAGGATCAGACCTCATAAGTAATTGTATATCATCCTCCACCTAAGGAAACAAATGTGAGTCAAGAAACAAATGTGAGTAACAAAACGGATTTCAAACACATCAATCAGACAAAGTAAGCAAGAATCGTATTTATCTCACCTCTTTGAACGTAGGATCCTCGGGAATCTCGGGAATCGTTGACGGTTTTTTGTTTTTCAATTGAGACATTAGGTGCATTGAGCAAGCACGCGACTGCATCTGCAAACAAAATTGCATAATATCAATGTCTCTCCATTAAAAGA